GAATTCTACTTCTTGCAAACATTAGGCAGCTAACCTGGAGGCTTATCAAGAAGAAGGTTTGAAGACTAGGTATTTATTAATATTTCAAAGTTACTTTTTATTTTAAGGAGTAGAGGGGTGGAACTCATTAGTTATTTGCTCTAAGAAACTCAGAGACCTTTCTTTTATTATTTCCTTGGTGAAAACTAGATGAATGCTTCAGATGATCATTCTTGAACAATGAAAAGAAACTACAGATCCAGTCTGACTTTTCTACAGAAATGGAAGACATGCCTGCCCTAAGCTACCAACTTTGGCACATACAGATACCTGGCTTGTGTCGTGCTAGGAATGGGAGGGGATTTTCATGGGAGATTAAATAAGTGTTTGTTGAGCTATGGCATTGCTTACCAGTGTTGCTTAGAGATATTTGTGGATGGTGGGCAGAAACTGCTATAGTCTTTTCTCACTGCAGACCCTTATTGGCCACTGTGGAAATGAGAAGGCTCTATTATGTTCTGTAGGCAAGCTATCACATTCTTTTATTAACCAGTACAATTTCTCCTGATTTAGTAGTGTTTAGAGTGCTGACTTGGAATTAGGAAAACCTGGCTTCAGATCTTGCTTCTGACATTTGGTTGTTATCCTTCCTGCCCAAAGAGGACCAAAATAACATCATTATGCTGGGGGTCAAGATAAAGTGTGTCTGACTGTGTCTTGGAAGGCTCTACCACAGGTTGGGCACAAACTGTCCATATGAACATTTGGAGTGGAGATGTCTCAGATTTGTGCATCTCGCCTTTCTTTTGAGCTACTACAATTTTACTTTGCTCATAGAACACAGTGCTTTATGAGGGCATGCCATGCTGGACGATCTTGTCTCCCATGTCTCACAATCGATTCCAAAGTTTTTCAATTTCTCCCACACTTTCCTTCAGAGCCTCCCCCAAACTGAGCTAGTTCTGGCAAAACGTGCATCAATCTCATCTATGTGTATATCCTTGGAAAGTACGTGAAACTTTCTAAGCCTCATTTTCCTCATAAATAAAATCAGAGGATTGGATCTGAGATCTTTTCTAGCTCCTGTGGCCCACAGAAATGGTGGCTGTGGTTAGGTTCCAAGATTATCTTACAAAATCCTATTTCACTCATTTTGTACCTGAAATCCTATATTCAAGCAATAAAAACCAAAACCATTGACAACATATAGTTGTCATATTTTTATGACATATATCATTTATTATGTTTGTTATTTATTTTTATGATAAACATATATTTTAAAAGATTTATTTACTTAGAAGTATGTTTTATCTCTTTCCCCCAACCCCTCAGTGAATAATTTTAAAAAGAAAAAAAACCCCTCATAACAATATGCATAGTACAGCAAAACACATTCCCATGTTGGCCGTTGTCCCAATATGTATGTCTCCTTCTGCATTTTAAGTCCATCGCCTCTCAGCCAGAAGGTGGGTAAAATATCTTATTGCAGTGTGATATTTCATCTTCTTTGTGTACAAACATTCATACCTAAATGTCATTTTAAGTCTTATTTCTGTGGGAAAATATGCTTGAAGTTCTGAAAATCCCTACGTTTAAAGCTTGAAAGGACCTTGACATCACCTAGTCCAATTTGATCATTTTATTGGTGAGTTCAGGGAGCCCAGAGGGTGTGAAATCTCTCATTCACAGCCATAGAGGTAGTTAAGTTGCAGAACTGAGGATTCATACCTAGGTTTTCTGTCTCCAAATCTGCTTTTTTCCCCCCACTAGACCACTTCATCACATAAGAAATTCATAAATCTGCTTTTGGAAGATGGCTCATATGGAAGTTTGGAGACTTCACAATATTGTTCAATCATGTCCAACTCTTCATGACTCCATGGACCATTACTGTCCATGGGACTTTCTTGGCAAAGATGCTGGAGTGGTTTGCCATTTCCTTCTCCAGTGGCAAACCAAAGTTAAGTGATTTGTCCAAGGTCACACAGTGAGGAAGTTTCTGAAGCTGGACTTGTACTCAGGTCTTCTTGACTCCAAGCCCGTGCTTTATTCATTGTGCCCCCTAGCTGCCACTTCAGAATATTACTTGTTTACATTTTCTGTAAGGTGTGGGGGGGTTTTTTGTGGGTTTGTTTTGTTTGGTAGTCAGAGTTGACTATCTCTACAGTTTGCTGGTATCTGACTCTCTTATAAAAAGTAATTGACCTAGAGATAGACCTGAGTTAAGTGTGAAATTCCCCTTAGGTCCTTGTCATCTTGGTTGGCAATGGAAATTGATTGAACCCCATGGAGGATATGCAATTTTATACAGTGATACTGCTATGAAAGAAAGGTTGCATTCAAAGAATATGCTTATTTGTCAGAAACTCCATAGTCAAGGGTAGAAATAATATAGGTGACATAGGAATGCTGTCATTTTATTAAAAGTCATTCCTTAGCAACCACCATCAAAGAAGTAATAGAAATAAAGTGTCACAGACTGAGTGATGGAAGGGATCTGAGAGGTTAAACTCTCATTTGTCATATGAGAAAGCTTAGACTCAGAGACTGAGTGAGTTACCCAAGGTAACGTGGACTTGTAGGTGGTAGAAGCCTGATTTGGAGCCAGACTCCCTGACTCCAAACCCAGTACTCTTTAATCCAGGGCACTGTGGTATTTTGTAGTATTTAGCTTTAGGCTCTTTGAATCCACAGCCTCATCCTTGGCCAAGTGCTTCCTCTGCTTAACCTGACAAAACAGTATTAAGGGAGAGGTTTGAGAGTGTTGCTCACCATCAGAGAGAAATTAATAGAATGAAAAATTGTTTTTCTGATACTTGTGTTAACATGCCTCCTGACCTCCATATATATCTCTCTGGCTTCAGATTTCCGGTGGTTACTAACTTCTTGCTTCTATACTACTTTCTTGAATTTGACTTAATAGGAATCTCCCACTGCTGTTTGCTGACCTGGCCTGGTATCTGGTTTACCTTTCCCTTTGGACATTGCCTCTCTTTGGAGCCGGGGACAGGAGTTCTACATAAGTCCTGGTGATTAATCTAGGGGCTCTTAATATTTTTGTGTGCTATGGATTCCTTTAGCAGTCTGGAGAGGCTTATGGACCTCTTTTTCTTCTTCTTTTAAAAAAAATATTTATTTATTTATTTACTTTAAGTTTTCAGCATTCACTTCTGTAAGATTTTGAGTTTTATATTTTTCACCATCCTGGACCTCTTTTCTGAATAATGTTTTTAAATACATAAAATATACAAAATGCAAAGGAAGCCAATGATATTGAAATATGTTTTATCAAAATATATATATTTTTAAAAAGCAAGCTTTCGCTGCTTCTCTGTGATGCCATGTGGGAATGGGACGCCGTTGGGGCATTAGGGAGCACAGCCTCACTGGGCTAAGTCTAGGCCTCAGCTGTATCCCCTCTAAGCAATGGCAAGGTAACCAGGACATGCTGGTGCTAAGCTGTAGTCTAAGGATTCTCTATTATTAATTCCATAGCATCAGTAGGCACTGATGTTGATGAGGGCATCAATGGAAGGGAAAGAGAAGACAGGTCCAAAGGCCTTCAGAGTGTTCTTGTCCACTGCCATTGGTTTATTGGATGATCATTCTGCATTATAGCTTCATAGAATCTTAGCTTGAGGGCTAAAAGGGACCTCAGAGGTCATCAAATTAAAATCTTTTATTTTCTAGAAGAGAAAACTGAAGGGCCAGAAAAGTGCAATGGCCTGTCCGGTCTAGTGATCACTGGAGCCAGGCTTTGAACTCAGGACCTGTGACTTCAAATCCAGCAGGCCAGTCAGAAATGATGTGATAACTAATGAAAACCATTGCAGGCAGACTAAGCTAATGGTGATAATTAGCTCAGGCAGCCAGTGACATGAATAGAAATTCTAGAGGGAGCACTCTCCTCCCCCCTACATTTTTCCATGGGCTGTAACTATTTCTGGGATTCCACGATAAAAAAAAAATTCCTACATATGGCCCTGATTCCATGTTATCTTTATTTTATCTTTCAATGTCATCTGATGAAAATGTTTTTTATGATAAACAGAAATTGTGAGACTGATTCTCACCAAAACAAACAAACAAACAAACAAAACAAGATTTCAGAATACAGATTATGTCAGTAAAGTACCAGGTACTAGTCTAAGTGCTGGGATACAAAGAAAGGCAAAAGGCAGCCCCTGCTCTCAAGGAGCCCACAGGCTGAAGGGGCAGATAACATGCAAATGACTATGTATAGATTATCTACAGGATAATGAAAAATAATCAAAATAGGAAATATTTTTTGTTATGTAGGTGTAAATGTAGGTAGCTCCACTTTGTGGCATTCTTGAAGATCAAAATATCTGATTTATCTAAAAGAGAATTTTCCCAGGGAATTTTTTAATCCAGGTAAATTAACAAAGGTAGTATATATTTTTAGACTTTCCTAAACTAGAAAATATTCAGGAAGAAGTGTGTATATTTAGGTCAGAATGAAAACATTTCTATTAAGACTGTGTCTGACAAATTGAAAAAAAAATTCCCCAGTGTTTAAGAAGTTGATTGTACAAAGCCATGTGGTGATTGAATGTTATCCCTCTATATATGTCCCTCTAGAAACCATTTACACTAATTGAATTTCTAAACTTTTCTCCAGTGTGTGCTAACAATTCATCTGAAGAGCAATGGAATATTATGCAGTTATCCCTTCCACATCACAGGGGCACCAAACCCCTGTGATCTGAAAAATCTGAGGAAAAATTTTTGACCCTCCTTTCGTACCAAGGAAGAAATCTGGATTTTTTTCTTTTTCTTTTATGGGATGTAAAATTTGGGTTAAATATTTGGTCATAGACTGTCATCTGCTGGCCTTCACATGTGGTCTGCGACTTCTGTGAAACTCTCAAAATATTTCTATTTAATTTCTTATGCCAACCTGATATATATCAAAACTGTAATGGGGAAAGCTACAATGTGGAAGAGTTAACTGTGATTGATGTTGCATTTCCTCAAACCATTTCCATTGTCTGTTCCAGGGTCGTCTGGACTCTTTAACTGAAGTGGATGACTCCGGACAGTTAACCATCAAATGCTCCCAGAATTACCTGTCCCTGGATTGTGGCATCACAGCGTTTGAACTATCAGACTACAGCCCCAGTGAGGATTTGCTCGGTGCCTTGGGTGATATGACCTCTGGCCAGGTTAAAGCCAAGCCTTTTGACTCCTGGAGTGAAATGGAAAAAGACTTCCCGGAACTTATAAGAAGTGTTGGTCTCCTGACAGTAGCTGCTGACCCTGTTCCCTCCCAGGACAGCGAAGCCATCAGTACCATCAGTGAAGAGGAAACTCACTTGTCCCTTTCAGCAGGAGACAAAGGTGGAAGTGACGAGAGCAAAGTAATACCTGTAGCCAAAGAGCTTCAGGTCATGTCTCCTCTTGGTTCTACAGGCTCAGGGCAAAGGAAGGACAGACCACCCTCTTCTGACACACAGGCAAAGGAGAACCATTCCTCATCCAAACCTGGTGCAAAAACACATCCTCCTCTCTCTGAAAATCCAACCCCCAAGAGGTCAATAAGAGACTGTTTTAATTATAATGAAGATTCTCCCACACAACCCACTTTGCCCAAAAGGGGACTTTTTCTTAAGGAAGATACCCTAAAAAATGAACTCAAAGATAGTGATGGGAAAAAACAGATGACTCTCTTAAAGGCGGAAATGAGTAGAAGTACACCCTCCCTTTTGGATCCACCAGACCGGTCCAAGCTATGTCTGGCATTACAATCCTCTTATCTAAACAGCCCATCGGCAGTTAGCCAGTCCTATGAGTGTTTGCACAAAACAGGCAATGGGAATCTTGAAAACCCAGTCAAGGGGCACTTTAAAGAAATCTCTTCTAGCTTAGAAAGACTTAATGAGTACAATCGTAAAGAAAAAGCCCCTCGAAGAAAATCTGATGAAACCTCTGAGATTACAGTTTCATGTCAACTACCTAAAGAAGGATCCGGCACCAAGGCAGCTAAACCAGCTGAAAATACGAAAAACTCAGTGGTGCCGAATGGAATTTCTTGTTGTGTTTCCAAGTCCAGAGAAAGACCAGAGACAGATTCTGCTTCCACGTCCTCAGCAGAGCTTTGCAGTCCAAGAAACCTGAATGCCAAATTGTCCCCGAAGTTAATTCCAACCAGTTTACCACCTGTTTCCCAAGGAAATGACTCTGTATCTGGCTCAGACTCCGTTATCTCCCCATTACCCATTATTTCAAAAGACAAAAGCAAAAAATGCTATTCCTTTCTCCAAGTCTTATTGCTAGAAATGGCCAAGTTGTGGAAGCCTGGTATGGTTCTGATGAATACTTAGCTCTTCCATCCCACCTTAAACAGACTGAAGTGTTAGCTTTAAAGCTGGAAAATCTGACAAAGCTTCTGCCCCAGAAACCCAGAGAAGAAACTATTCAGAATATTGATGACTGGGAGCTGTCAGAAATGAATTCAGATTCTGAAATCTATCCGGCCTACCAGATTAAAACAAAGCACAAAAGATTAGGCAGAATATCCCCTAGTTCCTCGAGTGATATTGCATCTTCCCTGGGGGAAAGTATTGAATCTGGGCCTCTGAGTGATATTCTTTCTGATGAAGAGTTGTGCATGCCTACACCTGGCATCAAAAAATATAGAGCCGAAAAGTCAGAGATAGCTCCATCCTCTAAGAAAAATGAGAGCCCTGCCTCTAATAAAACTGCTTTAATTCAGCAGTTGATGGAAGATATTCAACACCAAGACAACTATGAAGCAATCTGGGAAAAAATTGAGGTAAGGTGCTTTCAGAAATCAGGAATTGTTGCCACGGTGGTTGGCACAGAGTAGATACTTAATAAAAACTTATTGATTGATTGCTAGTCATAATACACCAATCCTGTTATCCCCATTGTAGAGATGAAGGCCCTCCAAGACCTAAGTTCAATGAAAGGGCTTTTAAAAAAATTGGAAATAATTCTTACTATTTTGATAGGCCTGCCTTTTGTTCTCTTAAACTATTATGGAGTAGAAAAAAGAACAATATTCATTACCTTGGGCCAATGTACATGTCAACAGTAAACGCTCATCAGTCCTTCAACATGTTGATCACACTTGAATCAATGGATTTGTGTTTGACAAAGCTCTTTGCAGTCAATATTGCTTGAACACAACTGAGCTCCTAATCAAATGGGTAGTACAAAATAAAGAATACATTGGGCAGTAAATAGTTTTTGAGCTTAATTAATTGGATTTGCCAGTATCTCAGCTATATCAGAAAGAAATCATTCTTTTTTCCTCTTAATACTTTTAAGTTTGATCTGCTCATCCCATCCCAGAACAGATACTTCTGTATTAGATAGAAACAATAAAGTCCAATTCAATTCACTGGGATATGTCTTCTTTTAATCTTTCTATATCATTTTACTGTTGGCTAACAATCATTGTAATCCAGTTTAATGCAATAACACACACTTTCTCAAGCACCTAATATGTGTAAGAGTCTGTGCTAGGTGCTGGAAACACCAAGATAGAAAACAAAAGTGTCATTGCCCTTACATTCTAGATATATTTTACATCATGCAAACATCTCTGGAACATGGGAATACCAACTCTGTTGTATAAATTTGCTCTAAGAATGAGATGTTGGTGTCATTACATCAAAACTGGCAAAAACTCCATGTCCATATAGTTCTCATTCATCCAAGCACAGGCAATCAGAATTTTCAAGACACAGTTTCTAATATGGATACAGTATAATATGATTTTGGTCTTTTGAGAATAAATAGTCTTGCCCCCAAAGATGGTTAATATTGTAGATGTCGTGGTCTTTGCTTTAATAGGGTGTTATCCAAAAGTACTACTAATTCATTTGCTGATCACAACATGGTGCGGTAGACAGTGTGTTGGGCTTAGAGTCCAGAAGGCCTGGTTCACATCCCACCTCTGATATTTACTAGTTGCATGACCTGGGAAACTCATTTAACTCTTACATGGTTCAGGCCTAGGATTTATCTACTTAAGTAGACAATAAAGAGTAAAACTCATAGGTGAATTGTGATCTATGGGGTTGGTAGAAACAATTATCACACTTGGAATTCCTCTCCCTAATGAAATCAAAGATCTTTCCTATATTCCTATAAGAATTCAGAGCTGTTAACACAGGTTAATAAAGATGCCATATATTGGTTTTAGGTCTCTGCAATTCCCAAAGTGCTTTTATGTACCTACACTATATATCATTCTCATTTATAATCCAGCGAGGAGGTAAGGAGGATATTTTTACTTCCATCTTTTACAGATGAAGAAATAGAGCCTTGGAAAGGTAAAAAGTCTTGCCCAAGACCCCATGGCTGCTAAGTGACGGAGGTGGGCCTAGAACCCAGATCTTTTATCTCTTTTTACTATGCCTACTTGCCCCAGTTAGGGTGGCTGTGAAGTTAATTTCATACATGTCTTGTATAATTTCAATGTATTTCCAACTTTTCAGGTTGGAAAAGAGATAGCAGAGGATTTAGAAGATTGTGAGAGGAGAGGAAGTGCAGGCACTGACAGTTGTTTTTACTGGATGTACCACCTTTTTTTTTAATCTCTGCATAGAGATCATTTAAACCATGAGAGCTGATGAGATCACCAAGTGAGAAAATATAAAGGAAGAAGAGAAGAGGGTCCAGGACAGAGCCTTGGGGGATACCCATATTCGATAGATATGATATGGAGAAATATCCAGCAGAGTAGATTAAGAAAGAGGAGAACCTGGAGAGAACAGTATCACGAAAACCTAGAGAGAAGAGAATTTCCAGGAGGAGATAATGAGCGATTCTGTTCATTCTTCAATGCTTAGTAGATAGGTCTCTGCTAACTCCCCTTTCTTTCATCCATTGAGGTTTTTTGAAACTCTTAGATTGGGTTCCTGGTTTTTTTTTAAATGATTTTATTTTTAAAAATCTGTTGGTCAATTTTCAATGTCTCATTTTGAAGAGGCCAAATATCCACATGTAACAAACCAGCTCCTCCATTACCATAACTATTAGTCTTATCAATGGGTTGGTAATGGACCAGACTAGTGTGTAACCAGGTGAGTTGTTTATTTTTCAGTTGCTGATATCTTCTTGCACAGATCTTGTTCTGCAGATAGGTTAAGTGTCCTCTCCTCCACAGCTTTCTTAAGTCTGAAAATAAATTGGAATAAATGAATCAAGGGAATCCTGAAATGAATCCACTGGGAATAACACGTGGAATCTCAGGCCTTTGTACCCTCAGATAGATTTAGATTTTCTTTGGCCTGAAAAAAGAAAGAGAATATATTTAGAATTGATTAGTTAAGTCATACTTCCACTAAACAGGCATTTTTGATGGATATTTAACATTTTCTAAAAATCAGTAAAATGCTATTAAATTAGTGAACAGTCTACAGGAGTGCTATCATTACACAAAAGGAGTGAATTATGTAGCTTGGCAAAAATCCACTTAGCGAAAGCAATCAGAGATGTCAGCTTAACAGGTGGGTGATTACAAAATGTACCTTCTTAGAGAGTATGGTAAATTAATGTATATATATTGAGTGATGACTTCTATGAAACACTGGAACAGATACAAAGAACTGTGATACATGGTCCCTGCCCTTATGGCGCTTCTAGTCAAGGTAGGAGGAATGCCATATAGACCTCAAAAGTAAAATTATCCCACAAGGCTATATTTGAAAGTTCTTTAAGAGTTGGGTTGTATTCAACTTCACCTTTGTATCTTTGGCATTTAGCACAATATTTTGTACCTAGTAGGTGGTTAGTAAATGTTTTTTGAATGTTTGAATAAGTTTGAATAAATGCCAAGTGAATGATACAGACAAATGCTGAGAAGAATGATATCTTTGTGGGCTGGGGTCATTAAAGAAGGCTGCCTTTAAAAAATACTCCAGGAAATTGTTTTTATATCTTTTCTTTTTAAAGACTAGATTTATTTTCTCAACAGAGGAGTTGGGAGATGAAATTCAAACCATTTTCCGAGTTTTTTTTTTCAGAAATGTAATTTTATAACACACTGAATATTTAAATATAAATAACAATCTCCAAGCTTTAAATGGGACACTTTCAAGTCCCATTAAAAAAAAAAGCTCCTGTGTTTTTTTTTTTCCAGATGATATCTCACTTTACTGAAGACCCGCTTATCATGAAATCATACTGGTAAAGAGAACTATAAACATCACCTTTTACTTCAGTATGTTAGGGTAGCATTAGAAAAAAATATCCTTTTGGACATCTTATCGTCCGGCTTTCTCATATCACATATTTTCTAGTCATGCTAAAATCTAAAAACACATCCCAGAGAGAATATGCCTTGTTAACTCATACATGTTGGTATCCAAGTAATAGTTGGCTCAACTAACAATCAAAAAGGGAAAAAATTGGCATTCCTTTTATTAGAATTCTAAATATCTTTATAAATGCCAGATTACAGCCTCTTCGGTATAAGTCAAGGAGTCAGCTGCTGGTGGCATTTTTAATCTAAGTAAGTCTCTGACCAGATTTAAAACTTCCTTAAGGCCAATGAAATACCACCCATGCACATCAGTTATTTCCGTTTCGGTGATACAAATGCTCAGGAGAATGCCTTTCCTTTATAGTCTGGATAAAGTAAATTTTTAGTTAAGTCAAGCCCTGATTTTGTTGTAGCAGGTTTGACTGCCTAGAGAAGAATAAGGGTAATATTTATGCTTGGGCATCCATCACTTTCTAACACCAAATGGATAGTTTTAAGTAGAGGATCGTTTGCCCTGGGGTTATTTTGGCATGGTATTCAGACGGGAATGTATCCAGTGTCACTGAATTGATTAATTATCAACAGTCTTTTTCTGGACGCTGTTCTTTGGCCAGGGGTCTGGAGCCCTTTTATATTTGTCAGGACTTTAGGATTGGTTTCTGTATCTTGACTGATATTTATAACATATTTGTTCAGATGTCATGCTATTTATACTAAACTTGCTCACATCATACTGAATTAATTTCTTACCACACTGCCTCGAATGCCGTAGGCTTTGAAATTTAGCCTGCCCTGTGAGCAGTGTTTAAATTTCTCTTAGCATCTTAAAGAGGAAATGTGGCTTAGTGGATGGTTGGTAACCATAGAGTCAGGAGACCTGGGTTCATAATCTGGCTTGAGGCATACTGGTTGTGTAACCTTGGACTAGTTATATAAACTCTCAGTACCCCAGGCAACTATCTAAGACTCTAGGTTTTGCATGAATTCAGCAAGTTATTTCCACTGTCGAAGGAGTTCTAATGCCTGTTGTTTTTCATGCAGCTGAAATTACAGGTCCAAAACAAAAAAAAAATTAATGCAATTCATATTTTTTAAAGTGTAAGATGTATGCCATGAAAGATATGCATGTCAACATGAGTTGTCTAAATGTAGCTTGTGTGAGTTATTGGTAAGTAAGACATGAGGACTGGAGAAAAGGAGGGAAACTAGCAAGATAGCTAAAGGTTAAGGGCAGGCAAGCCCCTGGGCACTATTGTGTTAAATACTCTTTGCTCTGGTCTCCAAGGGAAAACTAGATTAAAATTATACCTATCTGTCCCCTAAATGTAGTCTAAGGGTGCCATAGACTCCACACAAAATCCACTTCCCTGGTCCCTTTTAAGATGGAGGGCTTAGCCTGAGCTTACACTCCTCGGTTTGATTCCTTGTCATTAAATTCTAGTTACATGATAGGCTGCTGCAAATAGTGAAGGGCAAGTTAAGCCATTTGTCCAAGCAAATAGTAAACAGAAATCAGAGGAATTATATGGATTACAATA